AAAATTAGCTGATAACTTCAGTCAATAGTCCTCTATGGTTCCCCTTAAAATTTCCACCAACATCTCTCTATGACCAAACCACCATCTTCCAGATGTTTACTTTGACAGCCTGCGTAACTTTAGAAAACTGCAAGGTTGCTTTTTATATAAATTTTTCTATTTACGTCAGATTTGGATGAGTAAAACTTGTCCTGTTGGCAGATGAACCTACCTGAGCCAAGAACCTCTGCAGCTCCTCCAGAGTTCCTATGGGCCTTTTGGCTGGTTATCTGATCATTTACATGTGATTAAAAGCTTCTAAGGTGCTGATATTGGTGTGTAAAATGCATTGTTGTGTTCAGACTGCACCCTAACTGAGTAAGGTCTCATGGAGAGCAGCCTCTTGTGTTTTGCTCTGCTTCCAGGATGTTCTTCAGTTGCCATGCTTGCCGTCGGTATTTGAGTCAAAGTCTCCTGTAATCCAATCAGCCTCCTCCTGTAATCAAATACCAAACGTTTGCAGCGGTGACGGGCATGGAAGCAAAGAGTGCTACTGAGTGATGTGCTCAGCTGGAGGACCAACGTTTCCAGGAGCAAAATAATCTGGAGGATCTGACAGTAAGCTCTTAAATGTTTCGGTACAGTAAACCCGGATCAGGCAATGGGTTCAAACGTTTCCTGCTCTTTTTCTGGAAACCTCTAATGGTTTTTACAGACGGCTGTCGATTCAATGATCTAACATTCAGTTGCTGATTGTTTTATGAATGATTTGGTATTTGGAGGTTTTTATTTATCTAAAAATATATGTTTGCTTCAGTGACTCAGCACTTTATGAGATGATTGACCTTTCGATTGGGTCCAAGAATGTGTCATTTTTGTATATTTTTTCCACGATTCAAACAGCTCAAATGATTTTCAGTAAGTGCTAAAGAATTTCTTAATGTTCTAGATTTTGGACTTTGGACCAAAACTAATACAAGTTCACATTCAGAGCAGCTGGATTACAGTTCATGCCGATCTAATCAGCCCTATAGCCAGTTTCCTTTGTCAGCCCTTCCCAACCAGGGTGGATTTTTCTTCCATCCTCAAGTTCATGTCTTTAACCTTTAAGCCACTCACACCCTGTGAAGAATAACAAAATGCCACCCAAAGCAACAAAAAGGACCTGCAATGAAATAGCAAGAAAATGCAGTGGGTTTCCTTGACATGTTTTTCCTTTATTCATGTCTCCTCTGAGCCAAGAACAGCTCCAATAACTTGTTTTTTATTTCATTAGAAAAAAAAATATTCCAAGCGTTTCAACTAAATAGTCACTAAAATGGCTAACATAAGAGTGTTAGATTGAAAAAAGCAGCAAAGGAAGTCTTCAAATAAAGTTAAAAAAAAAAAACAATCCACTGGACTTTTTTCACCAAGTTTGAAGACGTTTCGCTTCCCATCCAGGAAGGAAGCTTTCTTGTCACTGTTTACATGCATACCTCCTCAGTATTAGGGTCAGAATAAATGGAGGGGTTTAATATTTTTTTTTGAACCGTTGTTTTTCAAAGGTGGATTAGTTTATACAATTCCACCAAAGTTAAAAAAGTTAAAAAACAAACCACTGGACTTTGTTTTTCCAAGTTAGAAGACATTTTGCTTCCCATCCAGGAAGCTTTTTCATGTAAAATGTGATGATGTGGCAGACGGCAATTGTATAAAATGCCACTTTAACTGTTAATCGGGGCCACTTCCCAAGAAGGTATGCAGCTGCCTTCTGTAAATGTAAGTTACTTCTCTGATCTGAGTAAGATTACAGTTTCTATCAAAATCTGTTGTCATGTCTCCTAGTTATTTAATATATATATAAGTTATGAAGTGTTGTTTAAAGAGTTTGCCTAAGTGATCTCTTTTCAGGAAAAAGAAGTGGAGAGAGAAATCTTTAACAGTATAAATATAAGTAAACACATTATTATCTAATAGTAAATGCTAATTTGACAGAAACTAATAAGCAATAAATGTATCTTTTGTTGAAACATGAGAAACTCTTTCCTCTGAAAAAGGAACTATATTTATTGGTGTAGCTTAGAGCTCCTCTTCCTTTCTCCCTTCCACCTCTCTGGTAGCTGAAGGAAAGTACAGAGTGGCTGCAATTAAGGCTGGATGTGGCTTTCAGCAACCCACTCTGCGTGTTCTGAGACTGACCCCATAAGACTTCTCATCCTCCAACACTGCTGAGTGGGTGTGAAGCCTCTCCTCAGCACCCTTCTACCACGCAGCTCATCTCAGACGAAGCAGCTCCAAGGAAGAGACAAATTATCTCCTCATTTGTTCTTAAATACAGCAGAGTTACTCTGCAGCTTGTTGCCTGTTTAGCTTCACACATGTCAAGTCACTTAAAAAAACCTGATATGATTCCTGAAGGCAGCACTACGGCAAGAACGTGTTTCTCATGTTTTTTCCATCTTAAAATGTATCTCTACACTACACCTAAACGAATACACACTTTTCCATCATAAAAAAACAAAACTCACTGTTCATTTTTTATGCTACTCCCTTTAAAAATGCAACATCCTGCCTGCAGAGGTTATTTTATTCATAAATACCACAACTTCATACCTACCCACTCATAGCGCTCACATTAACTGATGCAGACAATGTTCCCATAACTCTTGAGGAGCTACAGAGGTCCACAACTCAGGTCGGAACTATATATATTATATTAATGCTGTAAATAGCTTCTTTGAAATATATTATTTGATAATTATATAAATGTTCATACTACATTTGTATATTATTTCTGTGTAGCCTTTTCTTCAGCAAGGGTAGGGAATATGGTTAAATGGGAGGATGAGTTAGGGTCGTCGATCATGAATTTTGCTGTTAGGGGCTGCAAAAGTTTAGACGGGGGAGGAGATTTTGTGACTTTAAACATGCAAAGGTTTAGATCAACAGCGAGCATAAATATTTGCCACAAAATACCAGTTAATAGGCCTCCTTGTGAGTAAGACAAGTTAGATATTGTTTTTCTATAGAAAAAAAACAAACAATTAGTGATAATTTTTCTTGAACTGTTCAACAATAACTAAACATGTAACACTTCAATAATATGCGTAAAGCAGGCAGGGCGTAAACGTAAAAAGTACAACTAGTCCAAATGGATTAATGGTTGCGCTGTAGCCTGCTATTGAGTGATAATCACTAGAGGTTTGTATTTCTAACAGCAAAGAAATTAGAATGAAAAAAAAACACTTTTATGCAGTACTAATCCTTTTGTTTTGACTAATTCAATCAGAGATTATATGCTAAATTAATTTAAAGTTAGAATAAGGTGAAAATATCCCCCTAAATAGTGTAAAATGTGTCATTTTGGATTAAATGCCAGTGCTGACAGGATTAGAAAGTGAAATTAGGAGCTGCAAAAAATATTGTAATTGCAGTGGTCTTTGTTCAGAAATGTGGATGCCCCTCGTTGGGACACAATCCAATCTAACCGAGAACCCCTAATGGCTGCAGAAGTGCCCTGCACCTCAGACTGAGTTTGATCTGTTTTGCAGAGAAAAAACTGATTAAAAAAAACCCATAATATAATTTGCCAAGATTGGGGGGGGGGGTTGCTTGTGTGTCTGCAATGTGTTTCTACAGCTCTAGTGTTACAGTACAGTGTAATGTAAAAGAGCAGCCAAGTCCTCTATGTACATGCAAAGGCATGCCTGACGGGGTGCGTAAGAGTGAAAGTAGAGACCTTTGCCCCCGCCCAGCCACAGAGGGTTCAACAGATTCAGACCATAAATTACAATCTGTTCCTGTTTGTCAAACAACTTGTTCGCTCCTCCACCTGCTGGTTTTAACCGTTAAAACTCTAAAAACACTGCAAGTTACACTGTGTGCTGTCTGTTTTGCTCCTTACAGTCAGTAGCAAAATGCAAAAAAAAAGAAAAAAATTTCTATGTTATAATTGACGTTAATCTAGAGATTTTATTTTTTTTCTAAAATTTTGCTTCACACAACAGAGTGAAAGAAACCAAGGCAAAATCAGGATAAAATCAGTCCAAATGTATTCAGTGGAAGACAGCAGGAACAAATAAATCACCCTTAAACATTAACTTTTAAGCAAAAAAACAAACAAACTGTAAAATAACATATTTCATTCCATTTTCTTTGTTATAATTATTCTTATTAACTTTTCAATCAAAAAGAGAAGATTAAAACAAACTATTTACAAAATATGACCAGGAGAGCTGTACAAATGTGCTGAAAGGGTCACCAGGTGTGTAAAACTAACCCGTATAGAGCTTTTGCTTTGACTAATGTGGAGAGAAACATTGTTCATCTAAGCCAGGAGGAGAGAAACTGAGTCTGTGCTTTTATTATTTAGCTACTATGAGAAATACAGACACTAGAGATAAACAGCTTAAAGTGACATCTAACAGTAGTTTAGGCATCTATCATGAGGTTTATTCTGGTTGTTTCTATGGAGGAGGCAAACATAATTTTACAAATGATCCAATGAGACCAAGAGTCTTAATATATACTAACATGGACCAGATCATGTAATATCAGTAACAAATCTAATGTTTTAGATGTTTTATTATAGGGTTTGGCTCCACTATAAAAAGGCTCTGCTGACGCACCTGCTCCATGCTGCACATTTATAATCACAGGTTAAAAATACAAAACCATCCATGACATGAAGACGCACTAAAAGGGCTTATAAATGTTTTAGATCAAACCATATATGAAACCTGGTAAGCCAATGATATCATGTTCAATTGAAACAAATAAAAAGTACAAAAATTTAAGTAAATAAACACAAAAGTCTAAGTTGGTTTAATGTTAAACCAGAGAATAAGGTGGTAAATAAAGTTATTTTTTAATTGACTTGCACAAACCTTAAAGATTAAATATAGTTACTCCCTTCCATAAAAAAATGTATTTTATTTGCAAGGGTTTGTAATTTATTTTTTACAGAGCATTCATTTACATTCAAATCAAGCTCTGTATCCTACATCAGTAATATTTTGATTAATTCTTTGATTTATCATAGGAAAATGTTTAAAAATGGGGACATTTTTTTGTTCATATCAATCATAATTTCAATGTGTCATTAAATATACATTTTGTCTATTTATTTACATTCACTGCACAACCAGGTGCTTCCTTACTTGTAATCAAAATGAAAAAAAGTAAAACAATAAAAGAAAATATTTTAAAGTGCAAAGTAGTTCTGATTTCTGTGAAGCCCTGACTGCCATACCAGGAAACCCTCATCAGCAGCTGTAACCCATGTTGCCATTAGTATGTGATCCACAGCAGAGCTTCTCCAGCTCATCTGCAGCAGGGCTCTTTGGGCCTTTTTACTCAATGAGGTGATGGAAGCAATTATCTCTGGATCTTTAACTTAATGCTGGGCGAGTTTCTGTTTAAGGGGCCCCATGGGTTGATTTGTCTGGATAAAAAAAAAAAAAAAAAAACTACAAAATGCTAAAACCACATAAAATTATATTATTTTAATATTTTGTTTTAGCAATTGAGCCAATTTATCCTTCATCTTTCAAAGCACCCAAACCCTAGGATTTCCCATGAGCCCGAATAAAAAAAAATAAAAATAAAATTGAGAGCAAAGAATCTCCTATCGCTGATTGAATAAACTGTAATATATGTGCTGTGTGGCTGGTGCCCAACAATGTCCGGCATAATGAAGGTAACCTGACATAAAGAAATATTCACACCTCTTGAACATTTCCCATGTTTTACCATGTTGTACCCTCCATTATATTTTAGAAGGATTTTATCATAAAACACCAAGAAGGACATACAGATGAATGGGGAAAGCTGTTTAGAATTCTTCTTATGAATGAATATGTGTGCCATACATTGAGGTTTAGACTGTACTTTATAGAATTATATCTACTGCAGACAGAGCTGCAGTTAGTTTGGGTTTTTCCTCCGTAAGCTTTATACTGCTAGAAACTGAAAATTATATCTCAGCTCATGTGCAAGAACTGCTCTGTTTTTTGGCTGCATCAATCTCTCTGTTAGTCCTGACTATTGTCCCTGGCTGTTGAAGAAAATGGTTTTATGCTTTTTCGAGGATGTTTAGAAGTGCAGCATGTGTGTTACTCAGCATAGCCTTTTGGATGTAGTAAAAGTTTATTTTTCAATTGTGTTCTAGATTAAAACTCAATTTATTGTCAAATTCAATTTGAAGTTAATTAGGTTGGTGAAATTCTTACTGTTGTGTTTTTTTAGGTCGACAATTTTAAGATCTGTCCAGGGACAATAGATGAAAAATAGCCTCTTGGCTAATTCTGGTGCATTTGCAGCGATGCTTAATAATGTGCACTGTCCCAGTCAAATAAATGATACATAAAATGAAATAAAAAAAAAAATAGACCTGTCCAGATGTACCCCAACTCTTGTCCCATAAGCGCTGGAAATTGGCACCTGCTCCTGTGCAACACTACAAAAACGAATATTAAAAAGCAATCAACGAACAGACAGACGGCTGGATGAATGAACGTAGGCAAATGCTTGTAATAGACTTATTTTCTTTTTTTTTTTGGGGGGGGGGGGTTAATAAAGAGAAGGGGGCTAAATTAATCTCATCTGTATATTTTTAAGAGTAAAAAAATCATTGTATTTATTTTCCTAAGATACCCATCCACTGCTTTGTGCTGGTTCATTGCATTATGTTATAATTATATTTTAAATATCCTTATAGTTTTTTTTATCTTAAGGTGTACTTTGAATCAAAGCAGTTCAGTTTTTCAGGAGATTATCTAATTTTACCTTATTGTGTTTTATGTGTTATTCTACAAAGTTGACATACTTCACTTTATATAGTCTTTATCAGCTATATGGAATTGAGATGGAAATGTGTTTCTTACTGAAGTAGCTTAGTACAATATTGTACAAATTTGGTTTACTACATATAAATATTCACTGCAAAGATATATCTTTTGCATCTACAGATAGTCCCATTGCAGCGTTACTTTAAAACACACATATATAAAACCATGATGATTTCCTAGATCTGAGGAGGAGGATCATCTGCAGTGAAACATGACAGTTTTCATTAGCATCTAATAAAGCTCAAGAATCATCTAAAAAGGTAATCCCTGTGTGGCAGCAGTAACAAAGCTGTCCTCATTGGTGTTCCTGTGTCGACAGAATAACGTCCACAATCTGAGCTACTTCAACAGCCCCTCTGTCAGCAGGTAAAGGTTAAAGTGCTGATTCTCTTCGGGAAGATGGTTGATTGCGTTCAGAGGTGCTTAACTCCGATGAGCCCCTTTTGTCTTTGTCTTTCTCCGCATCTCCGTCCAGATCCTCATCCCTGCTGATGAATGCCAGCTCGTTCTCATAGCAGAAGGAGTTGGCGCCTGATGTTGGAAACTTCCTCTCCTCCATGTCTTTGGCGCTGCACCTGGGGGTGGATGACACCTCAAAAGTTTTGTGAAAGTATGCATAATCGATTCTGTACTGGCTCCTTTCCTCGAAGATGAGGGGCTCGAACCGGTGGCCCCACAGGATCTCAGAGGGCAGGTAGGAACTCCGCGCTTGCGTCGTCATTGCCGTAGCCTCCACCAACCCTTCCAGGATGATCACAATCTCAAAGTCTGCGGTCTCCAGATCTTGCTTGCTGATGCCAAACAGAGGACTTTCTTCATCGATTTCATGGATGACAGTGAGGGGGGCGACTAAAAACAATCGGTCTGTGCCTTTGTCATAGCCAACATTCATGTCGATCTGATCCAGGGGAATGTACTCGCCTTCTTCTGTGTAGCGGGGCTTTACCATCTGAGCCCTAACATGGGCCTCTACAATGTGGCTCTTCCTCAGGTTAGCAACCCTGAACATGAGGCACAGCTTCCCGTCTCGCATGGCAATCACTGCATTGTGGCTGAATAGAAGAGTCTCTGCACGCTTTTTGGGCCTTGCCATTTTGGCCATGATGGCACCAATCATGAAGGCATCAATGATGCAGCCCATGATTGATTGAAACACCACCATGAAGACAGCTGCTGGGCATTCCTCCGTCACATAGCGAGCTCCATAACCAATAGTCGTCTGGGTCTCGATGGAAAACAAAAAGGCGGCCACGAAGGTTTTGACTTGTGTAACACAGGGAACAAAACTGTCCTCCTCTCTGCTACTTTCCATGTCACCATGAAGGAGGCCGATGGCCCAGAAGGCCATCCCAAACATCAGCCAGGACACAACGAACACCAGGCTGAACAGCAGGAACATGTATCGCCAGCGGATATCCACACAAGTGGTAAAAATGTCCGACATATACCTTTGGGACTTCTCGTCCATGTTTGAGAAGTGGACGTTGCATTGGCCGGTCTTGCTGACAAACCGGCTGTGGCCTTTGCGTCTTGTTTGGATCTTGCCGTTGCCAAAACTGCCCACAGCCGGCATGGTGCTCAGTCTGAGTCCCTCTTCTTCACAGGACAGAAAGCTGTGGTGGTGGACCCGTCCTACGCTCATGCCGCAGTGGAACACAGCCAGGGGGGCTTCACATAACCAGCCTGGCACATGCAAAACCGAGCCAGCTCACAGAGGTGCAGAGCTCTGCTGGGCAAAAACTTGGTATCAGTCCTCAACTCCTACAGAAGACAAACAGACAAAAGGTTATCGTCAACAAGAGCAAAAATGAAACTAGGGAAAAAAGACAAACAAATGTGAGTAAAACCTTTAGGTATGTGTTTTCCATCTACTCCTTAATTAAGTAGAACAAATAAAATATTTAGATTTTCTGGGTAGAAAACATGGATTTTTAATTCAGCCTTCAGAGTCACCAGAAAATCCTCAAAATGCATTTTCTACAACAATCATTCCAGGTATTGATTTGTGTCTGTCTTCCTTTCTTTTCCTGATGCATTATCGGAAATACTTTGGTCCATACCATACACATTTCTCAGATCATCAAAGTACACAAATAGCCAGTTAATTCAATGCCCTGCCACTTTATGTGACGTATCTTGTTTTTCTTCCAGCTGGCACAACTGTTAAAGGCACTCGGGTCCTGCCATGAAGCTGTGTGATTCCCTGGCGGGGCTAAAGTGGAACGTAACAGAGGCTAAAAAAAGATAGGGCAGAAAACTTGGTATTGAAACAGAGGTCGCCTCAGATACAAGCGGTTCGATGGAGACGTTAAAGGGATCACCAAAGAACTGTCATCGAAAACAGTTTAAAATAGCACAGTGACATCAATGTGTTGGGGGTTTTTTTGTATTATAGCAACCCAATTCAGTCATTCTGTCTGATAATTATCGGCTCAGAAGGAGCTACCTCTTTAGCAGACATCTTTGTGTTCATATATCTAAGCAGGAGCTTTGATGCATAAATAAACAAATATGAATTATATCACTTTTTAAAACCATTTTGTTCATTTGCAATTATTCTGTTGCCTCAAACAAATTTTCTCATATGGTTTCCCTGTTCTTCCATCTGTCTCTTTAGCTCTGATCAGTCTATAGTCGAATGCCAACAATATGATGCCACCTCTTCCATGTTTGACCATTATGCTCCTGGGCTTTTCGTGTTCCCATGCTTTTGCCAAACAGAGCACCTACACTAACATAAATATTTCACCCAAATTTTATGATCGAAGTAATTTTAATACTTAAAAAAATCCCAATTAACTTTTTAAAAGGTAATTTTAATACAAACTTATCAAATAAACTTTACATTATTTTTATTCATTTGTAAATCAAGTTTACTTATTTTAAAACATGAAAAAATTACACTGACTATTAAAAATAAAGGCAGAAATAATTTTTCAGAAAATATTTGTAATAGAAATATTAAATAAAACAGTAGCTAAATATGTAAATATATCTGCATTAGGTATATGTATGTTTTCTTTAAATAAGGGGTTATTAGAACTCTCCCACCCCAACATAAAACGGTTTGACCAGGACAACAGCGGGCTGCAACTTTTAGTTAGTTTCACTGCAAACTAAGAATTTCAGGTTTACAGAAGTCCATTGCACGAAAAAAAAAAAAAAAAAGGGAAGATGACAACAAAGGCTTGATGGATTTTCTGAGTAAAAATTAAAAATAAACTGCAGAGGAATGATGCCCATTCAGAGCCAGGTAAGAGGCAATGCGACAGAGACAGACCACACCGCTAATTTCAATGATCCTGCGTTATGGCCAACAAAAATGACAGATTCTGATCGAGTGAATGTTGTGCGTTTAATTGCAAAAAGGAAGCCTTTCTTAGAAATGGCAAATTAACTGCCAGCAGATCAAGAGGGCAGAGAACTTCCAAAGTATCTAACCTATTCTACCCCCCACAATGGAGGGGAAAAATTGTTAGGGACTGGCTAATATTCAGCAGGTCAAAAAAGGCCATATTTTGCCATGTTTCCTGTTCTCCTATGAAGTACAGAAAAGATCAACAAGGGCACTAAATTCAATAGATGGGGAGAAAAAAGACTGTTGTATGTTGAATTTTTGTAAATTGTTTTACTGCAGAATATATTAAAGATACATTTTTTACTTAAAACTATTCCGTTGTCCTTCAATTTTTGGTTATCAAAACATCAGTATCATTGTTCTAAAGAGATCCCATGTTAAATATTTTTTTTCATTCTTTCGCTTCTATGATAAAGGCCAACTTTATTGTGTAGCCAACTAATAGCTGCACTTTGAGCGGACTTTTGCCCTTGTAGATCCTTGCAGCTCCTCCAGGACCATGAGATGCTTTTCTGATTGACAAATTTGAAGTGAAAGCAGTTCACCTTCACGTCACTTACTGCACACTGTTTCTGTGGCTGAATGTCAAGCTGTGGTTCTTGGAGTTGGACCACCATGCAGACAAATAGACATAAGCAGCACAGCGTGTTAAAAAGTTTGACAAAAAAAAATCCATATGAGTAAAAGTGATAAAACTGACAAGGTTTGGATGAAACAAAGTACAGGCAAAGACAGGCATGGACTTAAGCAGGCAAATGATGGAGTTGAAGATTATGCGAGACAAACATCTGGAAACTGGGATTTGATTAGCAAGAGGAAAAGAATTAGGGTAATGAGCGCATAACATGGGAAGCGATAAAACTTAAACTAATGGAGGCCGTGGTTGAATGTAAAAGTCTTAATAAATATGAATAGAGCTAAACAGATATTTACTATAACAGGAAAGACTAATAAAACATAAACAGAGACTTAATAGGAATAAATTTACTAAGAATATGCAATATGAGGTTAGACTAAGAACTCTAAAGGATAATCTAATCAGGAAAATTTCAGACAATAATAAAAACTAGGGAACGATCAAAAGAAGGCTGGACTTAATAAACACTAAATGATACAGATAATGATCCAAAAAGGAAAAACAAATAAAAAAGACCTCGGAATCAATCTTTTCATTTCAAAAATACTTTATTCATCCCAACTGAAAATTAAATCTTATAATTGTTAAAGGTTTTATGTCATCCAGGAAGATTTAAAATTCTCTATCTCACAGCAGATCTGAAGAAGCCTGGAGAAAATTTACTCTTTGATTTTCAGATGCAAACATTGATTACCTTATAAAAAAGGACATTATTTCTCTTGGTGAGGACTGCATGACTTTGAATGTTAGAGATGAGGTTCAGCCCCCATGTGGAGCATCTTTGCCGTGTTTGTGAGGACCCAATATTCATTAAGGAGGTCTATATCCCTCCTTTTCCTAAAAACCTGACCAGCTTCAACTTCATTTTCTACACATGGATATTCTAATTGAAGGTTCAAGCCTTAAATCTTGAGGCTAAACTTGTTTTTCTGTATATGTGGCAGATATAGCAAAGATCAGCAGAGAAGCTAAAGCTTCTAATTGTTCTCTAAGACCATCATACAGGTGAGTACCCAAAAATAAAAAATAAAAATCGAGGCCACATGAATGACTAAAATGTATGTTTTTTATTCAAAATGTATAGTGAGTTGTTGCTTCTGCTGCAGCTTCATAGACCTATTCAGCTTTACTTTCTTGAAGTGTTTCAGCACCACTTTTCTGTTTTGACTTCACAATGAAAGCTGTGACTACAATGATATAAGTAGTCTGAATGGAGCCCTGTTCACTGGAAACTTTATGGGTTTTGTTTTATGATAGAACTGTGCTTTAAATTGGTCAACTGCAGTTGAGTGGTAAGATTCATGTTGCATTCAGGTTTGATCTTAACTTTTGTCTTACCAATTGTTGATTAAATCCCAGGGCAATTAAATTATCTCTTGATTCCAGCTCCAATGTTCTCCTACAAACCTCCTATAAGGCTCACATAACAGGTGGACTTTTATTGAGATTAAATCACATACTGATTTTTCATAACATGCTCATTGCTAACAGATTGGTTAAAAGTTTTCTATTTAAGGAAACCTGGCTGACTGCAATATTTACTTTGAAGAATTCGCTCCTACTGGGTTATCATGTAATGTTTGTTATTGCAAAGAGTTCACAGCAAGCAGCAGGGATGTTAAACGGGCAAATATTGGTGGTTTAAGGATCTTTTTTTTTACTGCACCAAAACTGTCTAGATGTGTCTCACAATTAGGAAAGTCAGTATTTCTGCTGTGGTAATTCATCACAATGAAATGCAATAAAGTACATAAATTCAGACATTTGTTTTTGTTTTGGATTCTTAGCTCCAATGTTAGAAGCAGATATGAAAAGTTTCTAAAACTGTAAAATTATACCGTACCTTAGTTTGTCTGCACTTGCTGCTAAAATACGTCTGTATACTTTGTTTTTGTCACAGCTTTCTGGGCCATGGTAACCAGTGGGTAACCAATGAGTTTTAAATGAAAATCCAAACAAATGGCATCACTGTAAAATTTGAAAAGAAAGGTTTGATATCCTATTCTTTAATAGTTTTATGCATCTGTGTTGGATCAATTTTTATTTTCAAATGTGTTTATAATCATGTCCCAGAGGAGAGTACTCAAATTATGTGAAATGATGTTGAAAGCCTCCCACAGCAGGAGTCAAGGGCAGCTGAAAACAGAGACTGTAGCTCAGTGAAATGCAAAAACACAGTTTGGAAAAAAGTGTGTTCACATTTAAGGGACCATTGATTTGATTTTCTCCCATCAATAAAACAATTAACATTGGAGCTGAAACTATGGATCACAACAACTTTGCTCTGGTTACACTATTTGACATTTTTATATTGATTATTATGTGAAACCGTTTCTTTGTGTTCTTTTTTAAATCATTTGTTTCCATTAGTTTCAAATTGGTTTCTTATGACTTATAAAAGGCTTGGTCTCTAAATCAACCTTTAGTTACAGAGCCTATAGACAGGAAAGGGATATTTTGATGCTAGCATTGTTTTTTCTCTCGCTTCACAACAGTTTATTTTTGGAAAAAGTGAGAGAACAGGAAGAGTATAAATAACAAAATGAATACACCTTTTTAGTTTTTTATTTATCTGTTTCCTTCTCTTTTTATGCTGATTTATCTCCTCAAAATAGTCAGCAAAATAGATTAAAATTTGCGGTTGTAACATGAAGAAATGAGGAAACTCAAGTTGTATGAATATTATTGGGTACTTTTAATTAAAACAACCTGGTTAGTATTCTACTTTAACCTAACATGATAAGTATAGATAATTAAGCCACACTTTCCTGTTAACACAACCCAGCCATATTATTGCACTTGAATATGCTTTGTAATTATGCATTTCCAGTATTTCCTTATATTCTATTTATAAAACTGTAATGTTCATATACCACATTTCCCAAATCTCTGCCGATGTCTTGTAATATTGCAACACACCAGTGCAGAACAAGTAACAGTGGGAAATAAACTGATATTTAAGGAAAATCAGCTAAATTCAGATGCTTTTTGCCTAACTAAATAACAAGTTGCAGTTCCAAAAAAAAAAAAGCAGCACCCAGGTTTCCTTCAAGAGATATTCCAGAGCTATGCGGAAAATGTTCTAAAAATGCAGATATTTTAGGATTGCTACAAAGGGAAGCCTCTAGGAAGTTTCAAAAGGAGTTCAGTGGGATTCAATTGAAGGCAAAAGACAACAACATAAATCTAGAAGCTGTAGCTGCGCACCGAGAAGAAAATAACATTTTAGATTAATATAAAAATAAAAAGAAAACTTGCAATTCATGAGAATTTATGCAGTCTAAGAGAGAAAAAAATCTCCATGTAGAAGTGGATTTCTGGTGCAGAACCGAAGAATCCGATTTAATGATAACATGATACCTAAACATAATTTTTTAAGCTTTCAGTTCAACTTTCTTTCCATTGTTTCATCAATCATTTGATATTTTCTAATAAAATCACCATATTTCAGTCATTTATTTTTATTGCCTTTTAATTTGTTGCATTACTAGTTCTCTTCCCTTTTATTTTTTTTTGTCATGTACAGCACTCTGAATTGTCTTCCTGCTGATATGTGATATATATATATATATATATATATATATATATATATATATATATATCTTCCTTTGCCTTGCCTTAACATTAAGTAAAATAATGCAATGGCTTAGTATCATTTGACTTTAAAGACAGTTCATTTTTGAACTGAATATGGAGAAACGTCTGAACCAAAAGATTCAAAACAATCAGAAAAAGGCAGCTGTGCAGAACAAAAAATGAACATAATGATATCTGGGTCATTCCAGTATACAGAAAAAATGTATTATGTCTTTTTACTAACACTTTCCAGTTTAATAATGAAGTAATTAAACATTACAAAATGTGATGAAACATTGTTAAATAATATAAAGTCTAATTGCATGAAGGCAGTTGGAGTTTATTTATATGGAGCTTCTGTTTGGATGCTGTAATCTGTCCTGCCAGTGTCCCCATCATAGGTCTTGGATAACTCCCTGTTTATGGCCTTCATATAACAGGTGCACGCAGTTAAAAGTAGGACAGAGAAGAATTCACCACAGTGAGACAAGAATGTATTTGCTGAGTTGAACTAACCTTGAAACTACAAAATCTGATCATTTCTGTTTGTTTGTTTTGTCTATTCTTACTTTTTTGGGATGTTTATACAATCCTTTATATTTCATGATAATCTAGTTGCTAGGGAGCAGAATATGAGTTTCTGATGGTTTTATTTTTCAATTCTCAAGTGCTAAAACTTGCCTACTTTCACACAAGTCACACTTCTGCCTGCCGTGCTGTTATTTTAACACTAAAGTGATGGTGAGGATTTTTCCTGCTGTGAATTGTTCTTACTAATAATACATTGGAGCTGAAAGATGAGCAACAGCCCAATTTAAAATCCACCTCCATCCTGATTTGTTATTGTGTCTCAATAAGGAAAACACTTACCTTTTGTTCAGGTTTTTTTGATAAATGTGGATTTTTATCGCTCTCCCTTCTTTTCTGAAGCTTCCAGGTTTATTTTTAACCAAATTTTTGCATGATTTTCTTCAGGCTCCTTCCACTTGTCCTCTTCTGTTAGGGGCAGAGCCACTCTATCATCCCAGGAAAGAAAAGAAAAAAAGCTGTGAATATCTTCATGTTTCTGCCTGATTCACATGTATCTATTGTTCCACCAAATCTGGAGAGGATCCCACTCTGTCCTTGATATCCAGGGGGTTCAGAAACAGACCAGAAATCACAGAATGACTTCAGCCAAGCTCTGAAGTCATTATATTTACTCTCAGAATAGAACGCTAGTCTAATTAAATGAATTTAGGGCCTGCTGGTCCGGTCCAGTCAACAATTCGATTCTTCACAGCTTATCCTCGCAGCAGCAGCAGCAGCAGCGGCCAGCAGTCTCTCCTCTTCCACATGTCTCTCACTTTCTTAGTATATCTGCCATCTGATCTTGTTCTGCTGCATATCCCACTCTGTATCCCACATCTAGTGAACTATTGCTCACAGCTCAGCTCCGGTCCTCCCCCTCCCTCTCATAGTGTCACTGTAGATACTTGGCATTTGAAAATGACTACGTGCTCGTCCACTGTGAAGTGTTGATGGTCAGCTGATGTCCAACCGGCTCCATCAGGATTAATGTGTGCAAACATGATGACTACATATGTTCTGATCAAGGAGTGAAATCCCTTAGTTTTAGCATTTTGATGGAGATGCAACCAGCATTCATTGCCCCTGTAGTGTTAAGAAACATGAATTCAGATGTTTACTTACCTAAGTCATTAATACTGCACAATGCATCGTTCTCAGGAGAACGGGTGAAATCACTACTGACCCCTCACACCTGTTTACCCTCATGCCCTCTGGCAGGAGATACAGGTGCCTCAAATGCAGGAAAACAGATGTGAAAACAGTTGCTGTTCCTGGGCTTTCAGAGGGTGTTTGCTAGAGTAATTTGTAAATTATGTAAATATGGATTTCTTTCCTAATTTCATTTTATTCCTGTCTTATTCTTATTTTACTGTTCTCTTGTATTATTTTACTTTTTTAAGATCTATATATTTATTATACACCAACCAGAGAAGCACTTCGATCATTGTATACCTGATGGGCAACGACAATAAAGAATAAATTTTTTTGGGGGTGTCCTCTAAGGATGCTTCTTTATTTTTTCTATGGGTGCTTTTTTTTATTTCTGTCTGTGTGCATTCTGTTTGCACAAGCTGTCTCAGGGAATTACATTATGGTTTCAAATTAGCCATAAAGACTCTTGAGTCTTTAGTTTACAGTTATTATCAACTATGTTAAAAAAATGAAAATGAAAAAAGGTTTGGTAAAAAAAAAAGTTTTGTTGGTACTGACTGCTTTCTAGATACCATCTAATTTTTGTGATCTACTGCATCGATTCTTGAAGGCAAGAATCGATTATATAAAAAAAAATGAACAAATAAAATACATTAATGGTTGGCACACATTAGCCAAATCAAGTGGAATACAACTTCCAGTCCAGCAGATGTCGCTGCGGATGTGTTGACGCCCGCTGCTTTGTGTAACAAGCTATGTATGAATTCAGTTGCTTTCAGTTATGTATCAATTGAAGACACTATCCAGATCATGCCCAGCCAGTCAGTCACTGGTAAGGGCTGTATCTTTTTCTTACAGTGTTCAGTGAAAATATCGCAATGCATCGCAATATTTCAAGTATCATGATGCATCGTGATAGAATCGCATCGTGGCATGTGAATCGTGATTCAAATCAAATCATGACTTCTTTGCCAATACCCACCCCTATTATACGCTCCCTAAGAGAAAAAAATTTTTTTTTTGTTTATGTTGACAAGAACAAGAACAAAGCTCCTTTTGGCAAAGACAATTCGTAGAACATAAGAAGGTGAGTACAGGAGTTTTGGGAACTCCTCATAGGTCCTCCCTACTGCAGCACTTATTCATTTAACTTAAAGGTATAGTGGAGGATGCTCCTTTTCCGGGTGGATCATCAAAATAAGTGGTCCTTCTAATTGTCAATCATTATGGTGATATGTTTACACAAGGCCGTCCTACGTGCTCGTCCCCATTTTCACTTAAAAGAAAAGTTATGTTTTAGGACAGTTTCACCAGAGTTCAAATTGAAGCCTGTTAACTTCTTGATCTTTTCACAACCTAAAAGCTTTGGAAAGCTGGATTTAGGTACAGTGGGTAAAATCTCCCGAAAGATGTGGTCGACTGAAAGCTGAAACACAAATCTTCCTCAGGAAATGCTTGTTGATTTAACATATTAAAGACAATCTTTGCCTTCATCCATACAACATAAAAAAAACTATAAAAAATTATTCTGTAAATGTCTATACCTGGATAAAATGTGTTCGGGGTTGATCAAACAAAAACTGGATAAGTTTAGTTTAGTTAACTAATCGACATCCACAATGACTGTAGCATGGCTGAAACTATTCTTTCTGAGGTCCAGCGAAAATGTATGTTAATAAAACATAATATAGAATCTGCAAACTCCAAGAATACAAAGAAAGNCCCTATTATGAAGTTTCTAAGTCTTCTGCATCAAATGTTATCATTGGTTTGTTGCAATTTATCCCAATAAATCAGTGAATTCAATTTATAATCAGCCCTTGTCTAGTAAAGAAAGGTCAGAATGGTTTTATGGTAACGCCTCTAATAATACTCGACCTATTTGAGCTGTGGTCCACAGGGAAGCTAAGAGGAATTATTTAAGAAAAGAAAAAGTAAACATTTTAAAACAATATGCTTTAAAACTAATAAGAACAATGTTGCTTCATATGCAGTTATCCATGGAGCTTTGTGGCATTACTGCCTGAACCCTAAATGGGTTATAGGCTCAGATAGATGACAGACCAGATGGGGATGATGATGTAAAGTGTGCCACCGGGATAGAGTAAACCCAGAGCTTGTTGTTGTACCAAGTGAGTTATTTAAAGGCCTCCGTCCTGCAGCATCACAAAGTGGGCCGGGTTCAGCCAGTTCCAGTGGTTGGTCACACTTGATCGCCTTTCAGAGCACCAGTGCATGACTGGGTAACGTCTGTGCATTTCAGAGCTGGGGTGTTATGCTCTATTGTTTCAGATATGAGGGGAAAAAAAGATTTCTTAGGTTTCACCAACTCTGCTGCTGCTGATCCTTAATCTTCTGGATGTTTCTACAGTTTTCAGCTGAGCTGAAAATAAAAATAATTTCTGTAGTTGTAAAAAATGTATTTCTTTTTGGAGTTTTAGTCTCAGGTGTTATTAGAGCAAATTTATGTTTTTTACTGCTTTAAAATGTTTTTCACTCTTCTGTCATCTTGGTGTACAGCCTAGTTAAAACTAATTGACATGGAATACAGCAAATTTAAAAGGAAAATAGAAATGGAAAAAATATATATTGTAGAACTCTCCCATTTATCAACAGATATCTTAAGGCCCTATTTCTTATTTTGAAAATGCATTGGAAACTCAGTCATTGTTAAAAATTAGAAATGCTTCAAATGTGGTTGAGTCTTAAAAAACTGTTTGAATTAGGAACAAAATATCTTAACTGCAAAGAAGCTGAGTTAAACTTTATGTATTGTTACTTAGCAGTTTTATAGCTTTTTAAAAAAAAAAATGTTAACTTATGTTAACATCCAATTAGCTTTTTTTCTATAGAGAATAATTCTTAGGGCCATACGTTTTAATCCGTATACAGTTTTTCTCCATTTCCGATGTATGCTCCTCCACTTTAATGGCACCCTCAGTAAATGTGTGTGAATGCATAAAATAAGTCCTTCCTTCATAGTATTATCATCATTTCAAGCTAAGATATGTACAGCCTTTGTTTCGAGAAGATTTATGTTTTTAGGGAGACAAAATTCCTTGTTAGAAAATAACTTCTTTAAAGAAAAAACACTGTTAGCCCATTTAGCGACCTTCATTTAGGAAATTTCACCTGTTTAGAAAGATGAGTCGTTGCTAACAGTGAGAGGGATGCTTAAAGGAGATGTGACAGGACAAACCTGGAATTTTACTTGCAACCTTGCTATTGCAACTGAGTCCAAGTCGACACAGAGGCAACCCACACCTGCTTTACTTAAATAGTTTACTTTCTCTTCTTTTCCACTTTAAAGACTGGCTAAGAGAAAAAGCCTTTTATACATTAGGGAAAAAGGACCAATGTAATTATTTAAAAGTTGACAAACACTTGGTTCCTGTTCCATCTACATATCACTCTATGAAAATAAAGTTTTACACCTTATGTAATTCTAACTGTAATACACTGTACCATCAACACCTGAAAAAAAAGGTTATTAAGATCTTCTATTTTTTTAAGCTATGTGTTCTTGTTGGTTTTAAATCACATTTATCCCATTACATAAAAGGCTTTTAATATTCAGATAAATTATATTTAAAACACAACTTTTTCTGGCCCTAAACATCAATATTTTTCACCAAATCAAATGTTCACAGTTTGATCCTGTTATAGTTTACAGAAAAAAATCTAAGTTTACTGTATTACAGTTGCTTCTTCAAACCTCAATCAGACGAATCATCCTCCAGGCAGAGGCCAGGGGAAGCATTTATATTTGTCCTGAGTGAACAATGTGGGATTTATCCATTGTCATGGAAACGCTGATAAATCTACCGGTAAGTGTGAGCACACGAGTTGCATGTAGGTCACGCTCCTCTGGACTGCTTTTTATTTAGATGTTTTCACCTTTTTTTTTTTTAACTCGGTGGCTTAAATAAAGCAACCATTTCACTGAGGTTTTTATCCACAGCATCACACATGAAGGTAAAAATTACCATCTCTGAGATCCTGTCAGATGCAGAGTAAACACAACAGAAGAGGAAGGTTTTGGAAACAGACTGTACCAGGCAGCCTCTGCACTGGTTGCAGTAATTGATCTCTGCTTGACTAAATGGGCCACTTATTTTTACAGCTTGAACAGGTGCACCTGCGTACTGGTGTCTTTACATCAGCCGCTGATCTGTCATGAGGACCTGGTTTGCAGTTCATTTCGACTCAGAAGCCCTGCAGGTGCTCAGAAGACAAACACACACTCGCTCCGTCCCGCATGTAGGAATGCAGAAACAAGCAGAACAAATTCATATGTGGTGGGATGGTTTCCAGTCTATTCAGCATATGGTGCAACACTAATTTATTTACCAAGGTCTGACAGGAATGTATGTAATCTAGTATAAATCTATCTATACAGCTGCATTGTACAGAACTGATTTAATTATAGATTTCTGCTTGTCTTGTAAAGTGCCTGGTGATGACATTTTTTGTGACTTTGTGGCATATAAATAGACAAAAATGAATTTAATTAAAATTCTAAGACAAAAAAAGGTACAATTACCTTGTTTCTCTGAAGAAAATCAGTTTCATTTAATTTTTTATGGGTGACCATGCAAAACAATGTTATAGGGGTGTTTATCTCACTTTTTGATACTTTGTAAATAAATGTGCGTATTTAACTTAATGATTTACAATTACTGATCGACTGACTTGTTGAGAAGAATCAGTCGGATTTAGCGGGACATTTTTTGGAGAAGAAATAATTGCAAGAGAAAAAATACAGACTGAAAACATCCCTTGTTCAGTTTCCATTAACTGCAGTATTTTGTTAGGAGGGTTTAATGTGACCAGATCAAAGTAGCACATAACTGAGAGGTGGATGGGGAATTATATATTTATGTTCTGTTCTGCTAAGCTCAGCCATTAATTTTCTTGCTGTTAGGGTAATAATTTTATCTTCTAATTGTTTCTCATATTTACAAAATTGTTTGGAATAGAATTAACTTTTTTCCCATTAACTTTGGCCAGCTTCCCTGTCCCAACCAAAAAACAAGCATGCCAACTCCATAATGCTGCCACCACCGTGTTATGGTGGAGATGGTGTGTTGAGGTGTGTTTTAATACTTTCTAAGCAGCTCTCTGCTCATGCCTTTAGCTGGCACTGTTTCCATACATACTCTATATGGATCTATCCTCCACCTGTTGAAAACTTTCAATCGTTTAATGGATCTGATGTGCAACTACAGAAATTCAGGTTTGTTTGCCTTTTATTTAGTAAAAAAAAACTGCTTGAAAAGTGTAGAAATGAAGTTTGCCCCATTTCAGATTTTATGCACTGAATCACAGCAGGTCACCTTTCTGCTGACAGGTGCAAAAGCGCAGGGCATCCATACAGAAGAGTTTTAAGAGTAGGTACGCTCTCAGAGTGTCAGCCCACAGTGGGGGTCTCAGAGAAAGGAGGGTGAGTGTTGGGTTTTAATGAGGTGCGATGTTCCTCTAAAGCAACACGACTCCAAGGAACTCTCTGAACAGCCTCTGACGCAGGGTTTAGAAGATTCAATGAAATTATATCTGCTGCATTTATTTCCCAGTGTATCACAACGATATAGAGGAGTATTAGAGAAGTAACCTACAAGTGCTAAATCAAAGTTGTATAGACATATACATTAGAAATTGTTTTTATTAAGATACTAATCTTTTGAAAAAAGATGAACATAAGTGATCCCTTAATATCATGAAGCATCAGTGGGACAGCAGGTATTCCTTGAGGCCACACAACAAGCTGCAGGGCTGTGGGGTAGATTTCCTGCGTGTCATTGGTGGACCCCACACTTTGGCCTGTTTTGCTGCAGATGCAACAGGAGTGAGTACCCAGTGCTGCAAGAAGTTAAAGACCCTACCCATTCTTTTTGCTTTTCTAATGCAAAAACTCTGGGGTTTTTTTTTCTAATTTTGTCTTGAACTATGCAGAATCGTCTGTTTGATGTTTCATCTGAAGAAAATTAGAAACTTTACAGATTAGTTTAAGATTCACTGTAAAAGGTTGATATCCTTTTGCAACACTTAGGTAGATACACAGAGTCGATTAATGCAATCATACTAAAAGCAAAGTACATTCCTCATCAGTACACAAATTCCTTACAGAGATTTACTTTCTTGTTAATATTCAAGTTCCCAGGTTTGTGCTCAGCTTTATTTCTGCTCTCTATTTGCATGTGAACAGTAACAGAAGAGTGTGTATGATGACTGGCTCTTTACACTTTAGGTTAGATTTCAGTTATTTTCAAATCTGTCATTGAGGCGATTTTATAAACTTTTGGGAATCCAAAACCAGATGTGGAGACTGTTCTACCTTCTTTATTTTTGTTGTTGTTATTGTTTTTAATATCAGTATTGATGTGTATTCTCATAAAGATTTTGAAGCAATCATTTCATTTGCAAGATGTGTTTTTAAGAGAAAAGTTGTAAATTTTACCACTACATCAAATAACAGATGAACCTGCCCACATTCCCTTCAAAAAACATGTTATGCATATAGATTATAAAATTAATATTAGTGGTTTCAGCAAGGAATTTTTTTTAGACACCAAGAAAATTTCAGGTAAACTCCTTATTTTTATAGATCTCCTGTTCTTTATCAGGGCACCTTGTTGAAACTCAGTGACACGGGATTTAATAGCAAATCTGAAAATGGAACAAATTTGCCTGTTTATATAAAAAAAAAATCATTAATCGCATAAGGTGTGTTTTATTGTGGGTGACACATGGTGATTTAGAAGGCATTTAAACACAGCTCTCTAATAATGTCAATAACCCAAAGCAACAGATGCAACAATAATTTTAATGAAAACAGCTGTAGGTCTATAATTCTGGAGTCTATAACTCCAACATATATTCAATACAATTTTAACCAGGGGTGCATCTGCATGAAAGAAAATCCTGCATCTTGCTCCCTCTAGTGGAACAAACCAAACAACAAACCATAGCAAAGAGTCAAACATAACATAATGTCTTTTGAACAACAACACAAATGTCTCTTTATTCACAGAAGTCTAAAAATCAGGCATCGTATCTGTGAGGTCGGTTCACCTCCAGTAAATCATGACGACTCAAACAACTTCCTCCTTTCTTGTGTAGAAAGTCCATCTTTTAAACTCTGAAAAACAGAAGAAACAAAAATATGTCAAAAAACAGAGCTAAAAGAGAGAGGATTGTTTAGATTTGTGAATTATCCAAGAATAAAAAGCATCAGAACTCTGTAATTTAAAGCAGACTTCTGGGTTTTCTGCTCTACAGTTTATATTAAATAGATTAGAAGAGAACTGACCTAGAAAAGCTTGTTGTTCATCAATAACGTGGGATATCAACAGTAACTCTGGGTGTCTTTGTAAAGCAACAGCCAGATTAACACAGATTTACCTCTATTGATCTGGACATTAATTTAGCTACTAGTAGGGATTCATTTCATATGAAGTTATTTTAAGGTTAGTGCAATTAACAAATTCTGATTTTGAACCACTTGTTCTTACAGCTACAGACATGAACAAAAGCTGGATATAAAGTTCTGGGGAAGAAAGTATAATGATCTTTTTATTCATATCTGGAAAAGAAAGTTACTTAATTTGCTCTGAGAAAAGTTTACTCCATTTCAGATGTTCAGCTGGTATCTTTCAGGGGTTAATGCTATAAAAAGCCTGTTTCACATTTTGTTGTTGTTTTTTATAGCATTTTACTCAGATTAAGATTTGGATACAGCTTTGAATTCACAGTCCTGCTGCAGCAGAGTCCTCCCAAACCATGACTCTCCACCTCCATGCTTCACAGTCGGTAGGATTTTTGTTTCTTGGGGTGTAGCATTTGTTTTATACCAGACATGTCGTCTGTTCTGGAATCCAAATAATTCACTACCTTATCTTAACAACAACCAGTAGTTGGCAGTGAGGGCCTTCAAGGCCTTCACAGCTGGCCTAAGATCAACCAAAAACACATAACCCACATTCATAACCTTAATTTTAATTTTCTTCTTTCCATCTGTATTAATTTAGTCCAAACAATCCATTCTCCTACAATGGAGAATGGATTGTTTGGTTCCTCTTGGCTGTGCTGCTTTCATTACATTTATGTGGTTGCTTAATTTTTTGTCCAATCAGATTTCAGCCTTAGTGAGTTGCTTTTCAATCTAATCTGCCCAGAGTCTTCAGAACTAGAATTGCTGGCTGATGTTACCTTCAAAATATTAGTGAGGAGCGTTATCTTTAACCAATCAGATTTTAGATTTGTTCGACTGGGCCAGCTAGAGGGCCCACCTGAATGTCAGCATTTTCTGTCCTCCGATTGGTTACTTAGAGCAAAATGTTTACAGCCATGTTAGATTAATGACAATATGCATTTTAGATTCGCTTTTGTCAAAAGTTTTTCTGGCCTCAATGGCTGATACTCAATGGACATACCAAGACTTCCTGTTTAAAGACAGGTGGATGGATTTTGTTTATAAATAATCGTCATCTGTGATGGGTGTGATATTTTATTTTCATGCTTTATGTGCTATTTCATCTGGTAATTGGATGCATTTTGATGATGTAAATGTGGAGAAGCTGTGGTTAAAGAGTAGAGGATTGTGGCTGTCTTAAAGGTATTGTGGAGGATTTTTATAAAAGACCCGCCCTCTCCACTTTAAAAAAAATGCGTGTGCAAGAGCATGCACAAGCCCATTTCTCTCTGTGCTGTTAAAATGTGCTGTTGTCATAGCTCATACAAGCTTACTTTGTCCACATGCAATGGGGACTATATAGTGGACTTTATAGCAAACTCAGTTAACTGACCGTTCGGACAGATGATCACTGCATTTTGCTCCGTTGGTCACATAACTCCTCCTCCTTCATCTTTGTTATTAGTCGCCGCTGAGTTTTTTGCAAGGAGAACTCTCTGCGCAAAGCATTCTGGGATATTTATGCCTCTGCTGAGGTCTTTCTGTTCCTCTCATACAGTTTGTAGACACTTTTTCTCTTACCGCCCTTGGCCATTTAAAAAAAAACTGTGGTGAGAAAGGTGAGCTTCAATGATGCAGAAAAAGATAGCTAACGGGGCGTTTCCAATCCAAATGTTAAGATATATTCTTTACTATAAGTATTTAAGAATACAAAGATGATTAATAAAAAAAAAAAAAGAAATTAATGATGGAAATGTTAATGTTGATTTTTACCTTTGATCTGAATCCCCGAATTTGACGCAAGAAGGAGGATTTCTCTTTCTTTTTGGTAGCAGGGTTGTTCGTCACAGTGTCATCTATAAACAAAGACCGAGCAGCAGAATAAAAATGTTAAAATGAATAAATTCTTACTTTGAATTTGATGATAAAGATGAAGGAAGAGTTTTCCCACCAGCATGATGTCCTGTAGTATCTCGGCTTGTCCATGTGGCAAACTTGGCTTCACTGTAATTATGTGTATGGAGGGCCTTCAGTTTATTCTCTGCATAAACTTTGTCCTATAATACATAGAATTGTTTAGAGTGAAATTACTTATTTGATATGTTGACGTAATGTTTTATTTAGTGAGCACAGTATCAAAGATAATCCCTGAATATAGATTGTTGAATTTATAAGATATTTTACCATTTGTGCAATTGCCAATTCCTCTCTGAGAGAGAGGGCTTCCTGTTTTAGATGTTGCATCTCTGCCTCCTGTGTCCTCAGAGTCGTCTGTTATTGCAGGCAGACATCAGTATCATACAGTGATGAACACACAAACACACACAAACACCCCCCCACCTTTAAGTTTAAAACTTTTTCTCATTTTGAACCTTAAACAGTATGTTTCATCAGGATTTGTATTATTTGCAGTGCAACTCCAAGCAACACATAGTTGTGAAGTGGAACAAACATGATATTTTATTCCATATATTTTACAAGTAAAATAAAAAAATAGGCTAATTACTATCTTGCCTTGTTTAGTTGAAACATAGTACAATCACACTGTACTGCAACTGCAACAAAACTATTTTAATATCTGTGTTTGTTGGGGGCTGTTTCTGCTTGTTTTGCACTCAACTACGGGAGCTTCTTTAAATTTTCTTTAATTTTTGCAAAGCAGCTCAACCTTAATCAGATTTGATGCAAAGTGTGTAGAAACACACTTTCAAGTTATACTACAGACTATCACCAGGATAAAGGTCTGGACTTTGACTAGGCCAAGTCATCTATAAAATAAAGCTGAGCATGCATTGAGTTTCAAAGTAATTCCTTATCCTGAGCAAGCATTTGGTAAAAGTGGAGAGGAATCGCTGTATTTAACTTCAGCTTGATTATTTCTGAACAGCTTCTTTTTTCATGGATATGTTAGAATTGTTTCTTCATGCCCATTTGTTTTGGACTATCACACAAAATTTCAAAAGAGCAGCCTGAGTTTGGTGGCAGTAATAAGAACAAAACATTACAAACCATGTCTAATATTTGCATATCAAAACAATGCATATATTAGTGGTAAAAAAGCAGACCGATTTTAAAATCGTACAGACACCTAATTCCATATGGTAGAAGCTGATTGCTATTTTTTCAAAAAACCTGAATGCTTTCTTTTTCCACTTTCTTGAGAGGAAAAAAAAGGTTTGGGAAAAATAATAAATCTACAGTGAAAAGAGGATGTTTCTACCTGCATCTCTTTGAGTTCCTGGTTTTCTTTCTTGCACTGTGTTACTGATTCCCTCTCATTCTGCAGCTCCTGGCTCAGCTCAGAGTTTTCCAGGCATTTCTTTGTGTGCTGATCCGACAACACCTCCAGCTCCCTCTGCAATAATTGGATCTCCTTCCTGCGATGGAGAAGCAGAAGCACGGAGAATGCTGGACAGTTAAGTTAGTTTTGAAAGGAAATCGCATTAAAAAGTGGCAGTCATTTGATCGATGAACCTCAAACAGATAGTATCAGAGCCATAATGAGCATTTGTGGGAAAACATTTGTTCACAACCGGAAACAAATATAAGGTAAACATAGGATGAATTATTTAGATTGAATTTAAAAAAATAAAAACATTTTTTTTGTTGTTAAGACTAAGAGCATTTTAGATCCAAAAGCAACCATTCCATGGTGACTCACTCATATTCCAGGTGGAGTTCACTGATGTCTGCACTCTCCCTGATCTGCTGAAATTGTCTGCTCCTCTCCAGCTCCTTTTTATGGGCTCTTCGCATTGCTACAATCGCTGTAAACAGTATGATTAATATTGAAATGTATACTCCTGGAAAATTCAACGCTGTTTATGCTTTTCATGGATAAATGCTCACATTGAGCACCCAACCACTGAACATAATTCCTCATGCACAAATGTTTCCAAGAAGAAGAACCAGACAAACAATACATTCAAACTGTATTTACCTGACATAGTAGCAGCTGTCTCTTCCTGCAGGAGCTGGTCTTTCTCCTTCAGAAGGTTGGTTACCTGCTTCTGATGCTCCTGCTGGAGGTCCTCTATAACCTTCCTGTGCATTTCTTCCATGGAAGTAAACCCAAGATCACATGACGCCTGACAAAGAATCAGAAGAAAGGTATTTTTTTTGCAGCAACAAAGGTGATGAAGTGGACAGTTCTGGGCATTAATAATTTATGCCAGATGTGAGGCTGTGTAACATACACTAAAGCCTCAGTTTCTGTGCCTCTGAGCAGAGGTGGTCTATGGTTGTGTAAGGCCTTAGACAGAATCTGCACCACTAATAAAGTTTTAAATCAAATTTGATGGAATCTGGGAGAGGGATCTAATTGGTCTGGATATGTTGTGAAAGGAGTCGTGGATGATTGGTAGGTGTTTGCCACAATAACACAATAATATGACAGATGATACTTACAGACTACTTTCAAACCTTTAATTTAATTATATTTAATTATATTCCCATCCTCACAAAAGAAAAAAAAATCAAAAAATTAAGATCTATGGCAAATTCAAGCTGTGCTTAAACAAAATAAATTTTTCTAATTGTGCTGTCAGAAGGATGGTAAAATATGCACACATCAAACTAGATGTTGTAACAAAGAGGGTTATTTCCACACAGTGAGTCATGGAATAGTTTATAAGAATAGTAAGTCTATATGTAGGCCTCAGATTTTTCTGTTCTATTTGATTTAAAATTCATCCTAACTCCAGGGAATTTCTCAATTATCTTTTCTTCTTGCATTAAAATGATCAGTCTCAGAATGATCTGAACATTTTATCAAAAACAACTTCAGATTAATGAAATAATTGCTCAAATCATTGTTATAATGCCTGTTGTGTTGGGATCCTCAGGCTTGCCCACCAGAGGGCGCCGAGGATCCCCTTCTGCTCTGTGCATTTTTCCCCTAGAGCTGGAACCTTCCTGCACACCTGTTGCTAATCCTCTCATCAGAAGACCTCTCCTTTATAAGCTCCTGCCTGACCTTGCTTCCACGCCGCAGTGTTGATCTTAGTTGGTTAGCTTCCTGAGCCTCTGTTACAGAAGAATCTTAGTTATCTCTAGTGTGAGATCAGATTCTAACTCTTCCTTGTTTCTGCCTCACAGGAATCCTGTCTCTTCGTGAAAGCTCTGGATGAGCTTAACCTCCAGTCTCCTCGTGAAGCTCTGGAAGAACTGTCTCTCTGGCAACCTGTCTCTGGCCTGCAGCTCTGGGAGAGTTGCATCACAGGAAACCAGTCTCAAGTCTGAAGCTCTAGGAGAGTCTAACCTGCTAATCTACCCTGGTGAGCCAACCCGAAGATTCCTATGTGGATGTAACCTATGACTTCTATGTGGAGTTTCCCTGGAGGTTCCTACGTGGAATCGGTTTCTAGAATCCTGTGTGGATTTTCCCCGTTGTTCCCTGCAAAGAGCTGGAAGCTCAGCCTGAAGGATCCTTCGTGTTTTCCCCTGTTCTCTGCAGTGAGCTGGAAGCTCAAACCTAGGACTGCCATGCTAAGCCTGAAGCTAGATGCTTAGCCTCTCATGAACTCTGCTAACCAACAGTCTCCAGTCCCAGTCAAGACTCCAGTGAACCAGACCAATTCCAGTCCCAGTGCTTTAACCTTGTGTTCAGAACTTTAATAAACATTTGAACTTTTTCCTGTCTCCTCCGTGTGTGTTCTGCATCTTGGGCTTGCCTCCATACCCCATCATGACATGTTGGAGAACTTCAGGTGTATGTGGTGGAAAAAAAAAATCTTGTGCATGTTACGTGTACTTTCTAACTGTTAATTAATCAATGCATCTGACCAAATCTTATCCTTCTCCTCCGGTAAGGAAGTTATAGGAATGTACTCCGTTTTGTTTTTTTAATGCACTTTCTGCACATTGGCTCCAGAAGCTACAAAATAACCAATAGAAAGATGTGATATACAGTGATCTGTTTTATAGAAATTCATGTTTCTAGCTTAGTGCTGAATCATGCCTGTTTACAACATTGCACCAGTAGCCTGAGATCTCTACAAAATACAGCAGGAAAAAGTAAATTAGCTTTCAAAAATTTTACAAATACAACTCAAACACAATACACAATACATCCTCATCTCCCTGATATCTTAGATCCAATGCAGGCAGTTGCCTTTTGAACCCATATAATTAGTAAATAACATGCATTTGTGTTTAACTTAAACCTGGTATAAATGCAGATGTTCTGCTGGAGAGCATCCGATAGAAAACAACATCATGAAGACCCAGAAACCCGGCAGACAGTTCAGGGGTCAGTTTAAAAAACAATATTTGAACTTGTAATCTGGAAATAAAGAGTATGGCACAGCTGTAAACTACAGCTGCAAAAGGATGCAACATCCCAATGCTAATGATTGATCAACCGCAACATTGCAAGGGTATTTTATATTAAGTGCAATGCAGCCCTCACTAGGCCATGAATGGTCTATCCCTTGTGATTGAATCTATAAAGGGTGAAATAAGGAAGTGAAATGTGGGTAAGCTGTAACAATTTTTATGTCTTAAACATATGTTGCAAACTTCACTCTCATCTGCACACTTAAATTTAAAATTTTCTTTAACTTCACAACTATGAATCTAAGTTTATCCATAAATGTTTTAATACCTTCAGAGACGTGACAGCATTGGTGTCTATCTGCTGTAGTCTATAAGCAAAAGGAGGGTAACAGCCTGGACTGGGGGGCAGCCAATCACAGGATGTTTTTTTTGCATGGAATTCAGGTAGAATAAAACGTTTTTAGCAGTAAGGTTTAATGGATGTGAATACTTTTTGCATACAAGAAAGACATACATGCTTTACATCCATTTTATTTATTGCAAACCAGCGGCAGCTGCTGCTCTCTGAAACAAGGGAGGCGCAATAGGGTTAATTAAATCCAAATGTCACGTATTAGATTAACAAATGTTGAAACATTTCACTATAACGGGTGAAAATAGCTGTTGTGAAATAATAAACTCCAGAAAGAATACAAGATGACTGTTCTGACTGAATGATCACTTCTCGCACTCGACTGATGAGGAAAACCTCCTTGCTGTCTGGCCACTGTCAGTCAAAAATCCTTCGGTATGTTTGCCAATCAGCATGGAGCAGCCAGCTTCATGACCCGCCCCTACTCAATAGCCCTCCTAAGAGGTTTATCCTCACTGGAAGTATCATACAGTGATACAGTGATTAAACAGCTGATTATTGTGCAACATACTAATAAAATCTGGTGCATTTTAGTGCATATTTAATGCAGTTTAATGACTAGATTAATTAAGTTTGAAAATGCACATTTTACTAATAATTTTTGCCAAATTTACAGGTGAGGTTTAGCCTCGCTAGAATTTAATGAGGAATCGCCACTGCTGCTAACCCATGAAAAGAACAAAAGCAAACTTTCAACTGTTTGAGAAATCCCTTGAGATTCACCATTTTGGATCATAATAAAAAGCTGAGATGACCCACTGAAAAAAATAATGCAACCATTTTTTGGCAATTACTTAATCATATTTGCTTACTATATCACAATTGGTTCATGTTAGCAGGATAGGACATAAAACAATTGTGTTAAAGTAACTAAATATGATTAAGCAAATGCCAAAAGTGGTTGCATTATTTTTTTTACAGTGAAATATTTTAGAAAATGCATATGCTTTACAAAGAGAGGTTTTTATTACCTGCAACTTTTCCAGTTCTTTCAGGTAAGCCTCTCTCATGATAGCTCCATTTGCTTTACTCTCTGCCACAGCCTGGGCAGGAGGAGTGGAGGGTCCTTCTACTAAAGGAGAAACCTCCTCTGTGCAGAATTTGTTCTGTTTTTCTTTAGAAGAACAAGATTTGGAGTAGAAGCCATGCAGCTGCTTCATCTCCTCCTCATGAATCTGTTGCAGTTCTTTTATCTTCTGTTGAAACTCTGCCTCTAGGTTCTGTATCCGCTCCTTGTGATAATCCTCGATTTTCTGCATGTCTTCCAGAAGTCTTTGGTTTCCGGTCTCTGCCGACGTTATCTTCTGCTCGGCACGCTCCAGTTCCTCTCTTAGTGCACTGTTATCTTCCTGAAGCTGGTTCAAGGCTTCATTTAAAACATCCTGCTCATCTATCATGCTATAATCTCCCTCTTTGCAAAGATCTTGCAGGTTGCCCTGAGATGCCTTCCTTTGCTGAAACTCTTGTTTTATGTCTAAATGAAGCCTGTCGGACAAATAAATCATCTTCACCTGCTCCTGCAAAAAAATCCAATCAGCTGCAGAAACTCTGTCCGCGCTATAGTCCCTACTTTCTTGGACGTGTGTGTTATTAGCAGAAATCTCCTGGCACACCTGGCAGAGGAATCTAGCTCGATTTTGCAACCGAGACACAATTTGTTCTAACAAACCTCTTTCTCTCCCTTTCTCAACCTTTTTATCCCCAAATCGATTTGTTGTGCTTTGTGCTACATGTCTGGCTAAATCTTTAGCCTTCTCATCATAGAAAGACAACTCAGAGGGACTGAGATCTGCCAGGCCTTCCCTTTGATCGTGAATGCTTACTTGAGTCACGTTTTTTTGCTGAAGTTTAAGAGCAGCATAAAGAAGCTCAGCTTCAGCACAAAACCTACCAATCATGCTCTCTAGAAGCTGCTCACTGTTGCATCCGGTTCTCCTAGACTCCATCTTTTCCTCAGCTTTTAAGTTCAGGATTTGGGAAATCAAGGTTTTGTAACCTTGAACCAAATCACCTTTATCGTCCTTTCTGCCTGCAGATAACTCACAGATCCCATTTTGATTCTGCAGGACAGAAAGCATTTTCTCTACAACAAACAGCTCATTGATTACATACTTCTCAACATCTGAAATATCATGCAAAGTCCGGGTGTTTGTGAGTTTAGAAACAATGTCTCCCTCAGCTCCAACTAGTTTATCATCACTGAGGATCTTCCCTTCTTCCTTGCATGCATTCCGTGACTCCTGCTGGAGTCTCTCTGCATCCTTCTCCCCTTGCTGAAGGCAGCCAGCCACCCCAGCCAGCTGCCTCTCCATGTCTGGGACGTTAACCGGAGTGGCTTGAAGCCTCTCCCTGCAGGCCTGGACGACGTTCAGAGCCACCTGAAACCGTCCAACCAGCATCCTGCAGCGGGCCTCCGTCTCCTGGGCGAAGCGCTGGCTCTGCTTGGCCTGGCTGTGGAGCAGCAGGCTGAGGTGCTGGGATGTGGCTCGGCTTTGGGTCAACTGGGAGCAGAGGTGGGGGTCCTGGCAGCTGATGTGTCCCTGGTGATCCTTCAGTCTCTCAGTGATGCCTCTAAGCTTCTCCTCGCTGAGGAAGAGCTTAGTTTCAAGCAGCTGGATTACAGACATAAATTTTTCTGGATCATCCCCTGCAGTGGAAATGTGATGGGACGATGCATCGACTGAGCGAGATCGAGTTCTACCGGATTCTACCTTCATCAACTGAGAGCTGTGAGGTTCAAGAGTTTGTTGGTGGCCCTTTTCCTTGAACTGAGGAGAAGAACAGGTACAAACTCTCATCACTTCGTTCAACTTCACTTCTGTCTCCTCTAAGCTGTTACCTAAGACCTCCATCTTCAGCAGCACCTCACTCAGCTCCTGCTCCTTCCTGTCCAGCAGTCTTTCGTAGCCTTCCCGAATTTCCTCGGTTTCAGACTCCCACTGCTGCATCTTACCTAATGCCACCTGCAGCTCTTCACAGACTCTCTCGTATGAGTGCTCCAGGTCATAGTAGTGGGTCTCCTCTGTTTTCAGCCGACCCTGCAGCCTTCCCACCTCCCTGTCAGCCTCTGACAGCTGGCTCTGCAGCTCCTGACAGCGATGATGCAGCTGTTCCCGTTCCTCTTGCAAATGCTGGACGGCTGACAGGGTAGATGCTAACTCCTCCTGCAGCTGCTGTTGCGCCTCTTCGATCTGCTTTGTCCACGTCTTGGTCTTGGTCAGGCTCTCCAGCTGTTGCTCGGCCCTCTCCAGTTTGTCCTGCAGGTCCTGGGAGTGTTGCTCTGCCTGATCCAGGCTGGCAGCCAGGCTCCTTCTTTCTCTCTCCTGACTCGCCTGAAGGAGCAAGAGGTGTTTTTGCAGCCGGGCCTCTTTCTCTGCCTGAGCTTCTTCATAAGCACGAAGCTGAGCCGACATCTCCTGGAGGTTTTTCTGCAGCTGTTCGGCCTCCTTTTGGAGGCCCTGTTGACTCTGCAGCTCCTGCTGCAGCTGGATCACCTGGGACTCGGTCTCCTTCCTTTTCTCTTCACTGACCTTCAGCTGAGCCTTTAGAGAAGCCACACGGTTCTCCCATTCCTGCTGCTGCTCCAGAAACCGCTGACGATCCTGCTCCAGATGCATTTGAGCGAGCGCTGTAGCATCTCCTGTAACCAGAAGCTGGGCCTGCTGGGCCAAGAGGTCGACCCTTCGCCGAAGCTCTGCCTCCCGGGCCTCCTCCTGACTCCTCTTCAGTTCTTCAATCTCCATACGGAGGTTGTGATTTATCCTCTGCAGTCGCTGGAAAGTCTCTGGAGATGAATTGGTGTCATTCTGCAGTAAATATTAGACAAACAAATGTCTTTTAATCTGGCATAGTAAGCATGAGATTGCAGTTTTTTTCTGAATTTGAATCTAGTTTTAATTTTTTTCCTTTTCTTTGCTCCTTAAAAATACTTGTAGTAAAAAGCTCACAGCATCACTAATCTTCTCTCCTTTTAGTCAAATCCCTTGTTTACGTTTGTGAAGTTGGAACTGAAAAGTTAATTTGATGGTTGTAAATTAGACTTGGCAACCCCAAAACATCTCAGTAGCTAAATGTAAAGAAGTCACTTTCCTAATGAAACAGGGAGAGGCGACATAGAGAAGTGGATTACTATTTACAAAGTCCTAGCAATTTTTGGTCAATTTTATACTTATAAATCAAAAATCTGTTTCTTAGATTTATTTTAAAAGTAGCATTAGCTGTGCATAGTTTTACAAACTTTGATCTGCTTAAAACAGTTCATTCTTTTAGCTTCCTGTTTCCCCATAGTTCTAATGTGCTAAAGTTCTAGTTATTATTACAGTGCAATGTTCTGCTAGTTCTATTTTTCTGTTGTTGTTTTTTTTTGTTTTTTTGACAACTCTAGGCAACTCTTGACAATACTAGAGAAACCCATAAATAAGTTTGGTTTTAAAAATATGAGTGTCTGGTTATCTTTAATTTTACCTGCACATGAAGAAGTTTCCCTGAGTTAATCTCTTTTTCTTGTCGCAGTTCTTTCTGTAGAGTCTTGTTCAGCTGTTGGATTCGTGACAATTCTCTTTGTGTTTGTTCCAGCTATGGACAAACGGAAGTAAACATTTTAACAAAATACAATCATTTTGAATTATCACATCCATATATACATATGTGTGTGCATTTTGGTTTTTCCCATTGTATTTCTTACAAGATTTGCAACTGTGAGCAGTTTTTGCTGTAAATGAACAGCTATCATCTCACCTCTTTGACGAGTTGCCCAGTTTGCAGTGATTCTTGGTCTTTTGCACACACTGGGTTTATCGATACCTGTTGCACTTCCTTTTGTGGCTTAGTTTCCTCTTTACGTGAACTCAGTTGTTCAGCTGCAGTCTTGATATCCGTACGTTCTCTGAAATCCTCTCCATCGGACAGAACCTCCGTGGAGGAAGAGCTGTCACTCTGGAATCCTTCAACAGATACGGAGGCGCCTGTCCCACCTGGTGTACATAAACAAAGGAACAAAGGCACCTGGAATTAGCTATGGTTGCTTTGTAGAAATAAGCTCAGCCACTATGGGACCTCTAAAGGCTATCGTCAAAGGTATATTGAAGCTTGTTAACATCTGGACCAAGAAGTACCAGGAGAACACAGCATAATCTAGATTAGACCAACACCTCACAACCTCTGTCAGCATATGGTGCTGCCAGATGTTATATAAACAAAGGGAGGTTGAACAGAGAAATACTGAATTGAATCTGAACTGATAATAGAATATATATTTAAGGAAAAACAAAGGCATCATGAAAACTCTTCTCATGTGTGGATTATTCTGACTGTCGACAACATCTGGTGAGAATTAATGTCTGCATGATGCAGCAAAGATGTCGCACTTTTACTGTTTCTATGTCTCACACCTCAGTTCCCTCTGAGACGGTGACATAACTTACCAGTGGTTTGGGCTTCTTCTGTCTTCTCCACCTGCTGTGGAGGATCTGCAGGTGTCTGAGCAGATGAAGAAGAGGGGGAAACAGGGCGATGAGGGGAGGACAAATCTAAATCAGTCAGGATTTGTCTTCCCTCCAGCTGCTGTGGTTGCTGGTCTTCATGTGGATCTTCACAGTCCTCCAGCTGATCTTCGTTGTTCTCACCAAGAGAGCTCGGAGGAAGACTGAGACAAAGGGGGGCAAATGTTTACTGGAATTAGGATTATTGTACTTTACAACATCAAAAATATCTTACACATTAAAAAAGTGGGAATTGATTTATATATATAGATATATATATAGGACTGGAAAATGTCACAAAATTAAATTAACTCATTTAGGGAAAGACAGGAAGTCAACCTTGTGTAGACTGGAGTACAAATGGGCTGCACATTTTTAAAAACTGCTTGCACCCAGTTGCGTCGCATCCCAGCGGTCATTGCGCACAGCGTGTAAACCCCATCTTTGATCTGTGGAAACAGAAACAGATAGAACCCTTCTTTTTATGTCAGTTGCCACAGTTTTATAGAGGAATCAGACATAAAAATTGAAACCACAAAATAACAAATTCTTCCTCTTTGCGATGTAAACATAAAACATAAAGACAATACAAAATCAAAACAACAAAAGTAACATAAATAAACAGAGACAATCTCAGGACCCGCCCATCTCCCCTTTTCCTAGGACCTACATCTTATCACACGGAAAATCAAATCAAATTCTCTTCAAATAGAGTTATCAATATTTTGCGGAAGGGGTTGCCAAGTTATATCGAATGGCTTTAAGTTATTTGCTAATGAGAACCATATTCTTTCCAAATGAGAGAGCCTAACCAATTCCTCCAGCCACAATTTAACCGAAGGAGCCTCAGATTTTCTCCAGAGCATCAACACTAGTTTTTCCCTATGATAAATGCATAGGATATTAATTGTCGTTGGCATTTATTAAATAGTTCCATAGATGGCTTCAGATTGTGCCAGTAGGCTCATTAGGTTGTTATCATCGAGTGAATCTTAATCCCAGACTTAAAATAAATCCTTTTCCCCCGTGGAATTAATTAATCTATTTACATGTAATCTGAAAATATTTTCAGTAGTTCTTCATGTACTGTAAACATAACTAAATAAAAATAAAATGATTTACATCTCGCTCATATTAAACAAATCAAACACAGGTAATATTAAACAACGTATTGGCAATAATGAGAGCAGCGACAGAGGAAACTCACTACCGACCAGGTTAGCTCTGGGGAAAATGTTACTGTGACTAAATCAGAGGATGAGGAAACTCTCTTTGTGAAATGGGAAAGTCAGAGTTTTCGGGTAAACCTGCTTCGTGAAACGGACCCCTGAGGATTAAAAGACTTTTTAAAAAGGTGCAATAATCTGCTACTCTTGGTTGTTGCAGCTTATTTCAATCTTAATATTTAGTTTTCTTTGGTAGGAGTTTATTAGTATAGTACATTTTAACTTGTAAATAAGAGTAAAATAAGATATATAATGTACCTGCTTCCTTTCTTTGGTGGTCTGATGATGGCATACAGCAGTGGAGACCACGGAGGAGGAGGATGGTTGCAGCTGAGTGGAGCTACTGTGCGATTGGTTAAACAGGAATGATTAGATAAGCAACACAATAAAAGATGCATTTTAAAAAAGAATTTTAAAAAAATTAGAAATTTAAAATATGCATAAACTTTAAATGTAACCTTATTCTCTCCACAGAGGATGACAGCCTGCCAGATTCCAGTGTTTTCCTCCCAGTACCTCTGGCTTTTGTTACTTGTAAACTTGCATTAGTATCACATGCATGTTCTGCAGAACCAAAAAGCCTCAGATAAATATCAACGCATCTCAAATAGACTTTTTTTTGCCTAAAGTTTTATCATGCATGCATGATGGAACGTCAGACCTATATCTAATAGATCTAAATGAACTCAGAAATAAGTAAATAGAGTATTTACCAGAGGATCTTTCATCAAGTCTGCTGAGTGAGCGGCTGCTTCTCATGAACGGAGCGGTAGTGAGAGAGGAGGCTTGGAGTGAGGAAAGGCTGCGGCTGCTTGGCAGGCGACGAGATGGTTTTACAGGCTGAGACGATGCTCTGGTACCCTGGGTGCTGATGCTGCCTTTGCCACCAACGGCTTTATTCTCAGCTGCTGCCGAGTCACCTCCTTTGCTGCTTCTCCCACTGGTTTTCAGAGCGCTGCTGGAGTTCAGTTTACTTCCAACACAGGCTCTGAGCTCCTTGAAGAGAAAAAGGACAGAATTTTCCTTAAAGAATAATCAGATATATTCATGGCTGCTCAGCTGAAATATCAAACACCACACCACATGCTCATCCCCAGCCCAGCTTGGCTTTTTGGACACATGCAATCCAATAAACCCCAGGGAGAGGCTTTTAATCCTGACAAGCGCTCTTAATTTACTTAAGTGCCATTTGACCCGTAATGAGGCCACAGACGGAAACAGACACACACATACTTTAAACTTAATCACACTTGATCATCTGAGCGTCACCACGTACATACAGTCTACTCTAGTATCTGTTGATGCAACCTCAACAACTGCAGAGGCAATGAATCTGTGGCTGGAGTGCAAGGCAGAGAAATCAATGGGGAGATGGCTGAGGAGGCCTGACTTAGCGATTTGTGTAGACTGTAAATAAACCAAGCTGATCTTTAGCCATTTACAGCACCATAAATCTGACAAAACACATGCAAATCCCACGTTATAAATCTGGAAACCTAGTGCTCATATTAAACTGCACGTTAATATCCACAAAAAGCAGCAACAATGCATGAAGATATTTCTTTTTTTTTCTTTTCTTTTTTTCTTTAACAGTGGCCTGTCTGGCGACGTGGATTAAGAATAACTGTCTTGATGCCATAAAGGGAGCCCAACAGATTTTACTTTCACAAGTGGAGCAATACGGCTATCGCCATAGTGTTCTGCTTGATTTATGCATATAAATAGCTTTATTACAATTCATTCAGGGAGTATTACAGATTTTATGGACACTGTAATGTAAGTAGAACATTACAGTGAAGATATTTTAAAACAGAACAGATTGCTCAAAATCTAAATGTTTAACCCTGTTTTAAACAGGTTAAATACTTAATTTAGATTCATATAGATAAACAATGTGCATTCCCAAATACGAGGTGACCTAAATCTTTACATATTACAGCTCCACTGCACCAGTATTCTTAGATCCATAGACCATTTAGTGTTTGTAGCAGGAGTATTTCAACACTAGCTGGATGTTTAAATGTCAATACTTACATTTTCTCTGTCTTTCTGCACAGGTTTGTTGGTCTTTGTGGTTGGCAGTGCCTCATTCCACCTGCTGTAGAAACAGGCGGCAGGTAAATCATCACAGATAAACTCACATTTCTCTCTCTAATGTTGTCTTTATGAAGGATCTAAGATGTGTTTGGTTTAACTTTGAGAAAAGTGTATCTCCCTTTGGCATCTATAAAGATACTTGACAGATATTCAAACTTTTAACATAAAAAAGCTTATTGTATACAACCAAAATTATCCCTGCAACTGGTAAAATCAATGATTTATCTGCCTTAAAAGATGTTTGACACAAAACTGCAACATTTACTGACTTTAAATTATGTCATATCTTAATACCTGCTGGACTTACCTTTGCTTTTTGGAGCTCATATTTAGCTGAAAGATTTAAAAAAAGGCTCATGAAAAGAGAAAGAGGGAAAAAAAGAGGTTTGAGTTTTTATGGTTATCCGGTGCAAAAAAAGGTCAGTCTGTCTGGCAGAAACGAGAATAAACTACAGACAGGTGAACACGACGAGTCCCACAGAAACCCACACAAAGACTCAGCCACACTTAATCTTATACAGACTTGACACACTCCATTAGATTTTTGTAGGATTAGTCCACCAGCTGAACAGGATTACCACACTGTGACTTTAGAGAACTTGATGCACCAACCTTTTACACTTTTCAAAGTTCTCCGAGTCAATCAGATTATGAATAAATCTCTTGTCTAAAGTCCTCTTGAGCCCATTGCACACACATATATATGTATATATGTATATATATATATATATATATATATATATATATATATATATATATGTAATCGTATTGTAATCGTATCTTCTGACCTTCCGTTGCATGTCTTGGACACTGAGTTGTCACTGATCTCCTGTACTGTGAGGCGGGTTGTATCAGAGGCAAAAACTTGGTCCTGGGACGAGTTTAAAGAGGCCATGGAAACTATAAGTTGGACTCAAAGCAACTTCGGCCTCCGGAGAGGAAAGTAGTGCGTTGCTAACATTGTTTTCAGTGGGAATGGTACCTTAGAGCTCTGGATGTTGTTGTGGTGTCTCGGTTGACATACCTCTTCAACATTGCATGGAGGTCTGGGATGATGCCAACTAAAATGAAACCACACTCCTCAGCCTCCATGCTAAGGCCTATGCAGGAGGCTGAAGGGGACAGTCAAGCTTATGGTCGCAGCTCGGCTTTAGGAGGAGCAGTGTTGTTTTCGTCATGGCCGTGGAAGAGTGGACCAGCTCTAGACCTTTCCTTTCTGGACCTGGAGAACTCATTCGACTGGGTCCCTCATAGGCTCGGTGTGGGGCACTTCATAAGTAAGGACTCAGGGGCCATTTACTATGGGTGATCTGGTCTCTATATACCTGTAGGAGACCCAGGGGATGCCCCAGGACACAATGGAGGGACTATGCCACTTGCTGGCTGGCTGGCTGGCTGGCTGGCTGGATGGATGGATGGATGGATGGATGGATGGATGGATGGATTGGTTCAGAATGAAAACAAAAAGCACTCTCATAAGCATAGTGGTGGTCAGGTTTGTTTATTAAGCCAAGAGGGATTTCTATTTTTGTAACCTTAACATCAAACTGTAACGCATGTAGATATTCCCACTAATAAACCTTGTAGTTCACCTTCACTGTGAACGGTAAAAGCAGCATGAGGCCAAAACCTTCGGATCATTTTCCGAAGTCCCACTGCTGTGCTCTCAGCTGTGATGTCATCGCGCCTGATTGGCTGATCGACACGTGACCTCACAGCTGATTCGGTCGGATGGAGTGTTTTCTTCCAAGCCGTTCATCATCACCATCACCGTGTTCCTGGAGCTGCAGCCATTTCTGCTTAGCGGTGGAAGCCCAGCAGACCCACAGCTCCGCTACAATGGCCCAGGCCGGCGCGTTGGAGGCCAGCGGCTCTCAGATTCAGGTGGAACACGACAGGAAGCGTCGGCAGTTTGTCATCAGACTGAACGGTAGGCTCTGCCACGGACTGTTAGCTTTGCAATGTTAGCTTCCTGCTCTGCTAACATTGTTGTCGTCCTCCTTGTGAAGGACTCCAGCTGCCATTTCAGGCACAGCTGCCTGGTTCAGTTCAGGGGAGAAGACATCTGACCCTTTGAGTAATAACCTCAATCATTAACTTAGATCAGACATTATTTCTCTAAAACACTGGAGGCTCTGCAGGACTAGGTACAAATGCATTGAATATGTTGTTGTTTTTTTGATTCTGTAACATTCTAAACCAGCTCCCTCTATATTTGTCAAATATCATATTTTTTTTATTAATCCTAATATCATTTTGTCCTGCCTATTTTTTTTTTTTTTTATGTACTTGCTGTTTGAGGGTTTTTCTTTTTTTTTTAAATGTTGCTCAATCTATTGTTTCCATTGCTGTGATTGATGATCCTTATCCCTTCTCATTGTTCATCAGGGACTGGTTTTGTTTCATTTTGTTCTATATTTATGCTTTGTTTATGTTCTAAAACAGCTTTTTTTCTCTCCTCGTGCAGCTTGTATAATCTGATTTTCTTGGTTTTAGTCATCGAAACAATAACCCTTGAATGTGCGTGTTCTCAGGGTCCCATGATCGAGCGGTCCTCCTCTATGAATATGTTGGGAAGAAGACGGTGGATTTACAGCACACAGAAGTTCCAGATGCTTACAGAGGGAGAGGAATCGCCAAACACTTGGCCAAGGTTCAAATTCTAGATTAAACTGTTTCATTTTTGCTAGTTTTTTGGGTTTTGCAACCAAAAGTTATTCTTGACAAACTGTTTTTTTGTCTTTCCTGTAAGCACGACACCAGCATGGTGCAGCAACAGGTGGGGAAGGGGCAGTTTTGCATTTCTCCTTTCACATGTTTTTTATAACCTCCAAGGTTAGGATTTTTCTGCTCTACTCTCTTCTCTTCAGCTCACCCCAAAGATGTTGATTGATTTTAGGGTGAGTGGAGGCCTAGTGGTGAGGGCATTGAGCTTGGAATCCTGAGGTTCTGAGTTCGAGCCCCACTCCCACAGACTGCCACTCTGGGTCCCTAAGCAAAAAGATCATTAAGGCCAACTTTTGCTTCTGACGCATAGCCTCTGCAACAGTCAAATCTGTTTCTCTGCAGAGGTTCTGCAACCGTCGTTGCGCATATCAAAAGAAATCCTGACTACCCCTTGGACGGTCGCACACCTGCGCAGACCTCAAGAGGAAGTTTGCAGACAAAAAGCAGCTGTGACTGGTCCTTGTTATGTTATTCCGGCTGTCTGTGTGGTCATCCTTCTCGATTCGGTGCCGGGCCGCGCCATTTCTAAAAACCAACTACAATGAACAACTACAACGAAAGGTTAATCCAGGAGGTTCAGAAGTACAATCCGTTTAAGTTCTCGTGAGTTCTCAAATAGGCTCCCCCTTGCACTTTGGCTGGAAACTGCTGTGCATCCCTAGAAATTGCAGACTGATGGTGCAGAAGCATACCAGCAAAACTAATTCATGACAAGACCCAAGCAACATTTGATGTGTGCGGTTTGCAGAAGTCTAATCTGCCCTTTGACCCCACACTGCTCTCCAGGCGCCACACAATGGAAGCCCACTGCTCCCCAAGGGGATTGGTTAAATGCAGAGAGTTATTTCTGTTGCTCTGTACTTGTGAGGGTATAATGACAATAAAAAAAAAAGCTGGATCTGGGCAGATGTTATAGACTTGTTTTCTACTGAATGAAATGGCACTTTCCAATTTCAAAGAAAACCCCCCTACTTGTCTTTTAAAATAGCTAAATATTTCAAAAAATGATGCCTTCCCTTTCTACATGGTTCCCTGGGCTTTGGGGAAGCAGACCCACAGCTTTGGGCTCAGCATACGGTGACTCCATAAATTGAATTTGAATTCCTACAGCATTCAGCAAGCTCAACAAGTTAACGTTTGTGATAACAATATGTTAAACTGTGCCTCTCATTTGTTGTCATTTCAGGCAGCCATGGACTTTGTGGTGGAGGAGGACCTGAAGGCTCATCTGACCTGCTGGTACATCCAGAAATATGTCAAGGAGAACCCTCAACCTAAGTACTTTGAACACATCTATCAATGACCCCACATGACACCAAAAAGACTCGAAGATGGAGATGGTGTGGCGGCATGCTTTGGGTGGGAGTTTTTTTTTTTTTTTTTTTCAGGATGCAAAGCAGCATACCTCCCAAGGATCATTCCATGCTAAACCAGGCGAAAGCTGAGTATCTCAAAGCAGAACCGGACTTTCAGATGGAGGCGGAGTTCTGATGCTAATCATGGAGTATGGACTTGAAAAGACAAAAGCCACCCCATGGTGGCAGCCGGAGCTTCCAGGACCTTTTCCCGCTGCTGACATGAAGCAAACGTTGGTTTCATGTCAATGTCCTCATTTGAACACACCAATCAGACCTTTTTATGTTATTTTTTCCTAGTATTTGGATGAAAAGCAATTTATAACATTTTAAAATAATTTTACTTCTCATTGTCTAACAATATTCCCCTTTCTCAGAAAACATTTCAGTTGTGCAGCGTTCTGTTGCTGAAGGTTCTCTTATGAAAAAGACCTTCTAAATATGTGGCTATGACGTTTTTTTCATAATCGCCAAAACCATACATTAGTGATACAAATATTTTTAATTCATCAATTTATTCTAGTCTTAATGAGTCCTAAATTGATACATCTTCTGATTAAAGGTGCTGTCTATGTAAAGTGGAGCTGAAGCTTATCTCCACCCTGAACGGGATGCGAGATAAACCCCAAGTTACAGGCATTGCTACCTGTGCAATTTAACCTTTCCATAGGGTGTTCTATATATGCTTAAATTCAGCATCAGTGACCGTGCAGATTCAGGGCATTTCTATTGCTTAAGGTTTGTTAATCCTCGCTCTCTTATTCAGGGAAATTTTCTTTTCTATACCTGAAAATATACAGAGAAATTGAACTTTTGCTGTAGACAATCTCCAGTGTTGAGGAGACGAATACCTCAGGCTAACTCCACACTCTCTACTAATAACTGCAATAACGATGCCCCTTTTATACCTTTTGTTTTGGTGGCATAAAGCTATGAACTAGCCGAGGCATTATTTCTCTATTTTATGAGTTTCTTTGGGTGTTTTCTGTAATATTTGTCTTGTTTTGTTAAAACAATGCCTGTCAAACGAATATGTCCCAGTGCTCCTGTTACACTGTTTTATACTTGATATTGTTTTTTCTCTACTTGTTCTGAATAAATGACTCATCGTCATCTGGTATGTAGATTTGTTCAAAAGTGTTTATAGCGACTTTAAATTGAAAGAAATGGGGTGGTAATTTAGGAGTGCAATGCAAATGTTTTCCTGCTATTTACATTTTTTTCACATGACCATGTATGAATTTTATGTGGTCGACCAACAGTGAGTCACTTTTTTCTTGAAAAGTGGAAAGAAAATTATCCATCGTTTTCATAATAAAATATTTAAAGAATTAGACTGTTTTTATTGAGCAATCTTTAATTCCGCCTTAATAAAATCCAGTTATAGAGATTCTCAAATGTTTTTAATTATGGTACAATTTAGAGGTAAAAGGGAGATCTCACTTTCACTCCACATTAGAGTGTCTTTGGAAAAACCTCACTAATTTTGAATGAGGCAGAAAGGTTTAGAAATTGAGGACTTTGAAAAGCACATGAAAATAAAGAAATTAATGAGTTTAATATTTGAAGCACCATTAAATATAGGCTTTCAAATTCATCCAGCCTTATTAACTGTTGATGTGACTGATCAGAGCCCTTTGCTGTGTTTTTTTTTCTTTCATTCTCCAAATGAATCATTTTCTGAACTCCTGAGACTTTTTTTTTCTGGGAAGAAAGTATAAAAAGTGAATGATTCCATCCAAACAAAGTCTGTTTTACATAAACTTCTCTGTGTCTCCTGTTTTGGTGATGGTGAGCAAAGACTCTGGAGAAAAACCTGCTATCCTACCAGCTGGCCTCCATGCTCTAATTAAACCTAAGTCAGTGTCCAGACAGATTTAACTTTAGGTGTTTTGAGTGCATCATCAATGATCTTTCAATAGAAGATGTTTCTGGTCAGACCAGTTAATTGATTATTTGCTCAGCAGTATATTATTTGAGAATGGCTTGCTAATTTATCATATGTAGCATATAATAATCATGTACAGCTAAAAAATCCAGCATTTGTTATATTAATGACAGCTTAACTATAGGAGTTTTTTTTGTTTTTGTTTTTCTTTGGCTAAATTTACAGTAGGATTTTGTTTAAACTTAAAACTCTGATCTAGTCCTTATCTGACCAGTGATTCTTCTTAAACCTGTTCACTGTATTTCCTGTGGGACTTGTGGTAATTTTGAACTTTTATTTTTTGTCTCAGCAATGCGTTTGTGCTGCACCAATGTTCACTAACAGAACTTTGAGGCCTTCACAGAACAGACGGAGCTAATAACATGCAGTTTTTTTTTTTTTTGAGAACTATTGTTTATTTCCTAGGTTCAATTTTTTCAAATGTATCCATTGGCTTATAATATATTTAGATACAACACTGTGACATCTAAGAATTAAACATTTGTGTCAATGCACTATATTTTAAATATAGATATATTATTTGCATTATTTGTGATGAACAATTGTAACTATTCATCAAGATCACACATATACCTTAGTGAGAAATTTAACTAGAAATCTTTGCAAAACCCATATGTAATTTGGTATCACATTGTCAAGTGGCCGTAATGTTTTACACTTCTATCATGAGTAGGAATATTAACATCGCTCTACTTTAGATCAATATAACAGAAAAATAAAAGAAAAATCGATAGACTTTATTTCATCATCAAAATTGATCTGAAGTTTTTGTTAACCTTTGCATAATATTATCTCCCTATTTTGACGCCGACTTGTGGCAGCATAGAGAACTACACCAGGTAGAGAAGCGGCCTATGATTTTATATTCCTATTCTGATTCTTGTCCCTTACTTAAAGAGAATTTTTTTTTTTTTAAGGATTTAGGTTGGCTTGACTTTCTAAAAAAAAAAAAAACAGTAGATTGTATAAATCTCCTTTCATTTGAAACTTCTAAATAAAATTTGGGTACAAACGATTGTCTTTGGATTATAATGTCTGCAAGTTCTAATGGTCTTTGCTAAAACATCCAAATAACAAAAAGAAACATCATAATGGTAGGAATCATAATTTGTAAAATCAAAGCCCCCCTGAAACACATTCATGTGCGACATTGTGTAAAAAGATAAGGCTAAATATCTGTTGTTTATTTGTGGTTCTTAACAAGTTAGGTTCATGCAACAACACGCCCTGCATCACACCCTTCAGGAAGGGAGCAGTTTGTGTGTCACAGAGATAAAAATTTGCAGTTTGAACACTCGATGATAACCTTGTGAGCTTGTGAAGATGCCTAGAGTAGATATGGAATTTGAAACCAGCCCAATTCTCCTAAAGTAACATAAAAGCCTGATTAGAGTTTGCAAATAAAAAAAAGTGGATAAAGGGGGTAGATTGCAAACTAAAGAACTGCATTAACATAATGTTGGCCTAATTTTGTTGTAGGAGAGACAGGTGCACCATTGAAAAGCATGGAGAAGGTGTGTGGGCGAGCTGCATGACTCATGACACAGTTTCTGTTCTGTCAGGAAAAAAAGGTCCATATTATCAGAAAACTATTAAAAAGGTTTGAAAAGAAAACCCAAAACATTTAATCCAAGTCATGAAGTTTTAGTATCACACAATGACGGAATAAATGTTCGGAAAAGTGTCAAAAAGGTTTTCTGTATCCAATTCAATTCAGTTTATTTCTATAGCGCCAATTCACAACACAAGTCATCTCAGGGCACTTTACAGTTCAACCAGATCATACAGTCAAATTGATTCAAAGTTTTCTATCTAAGGAAAACCAGTTAATTGCATTGACCCATTGACTCAAATGCAATCCCTCACACTAAGCATGCTTGTAGCAACGATGGAGAGGAAAAACTCCCTTTTAACAGGAAGAAACCTCAAGCAGAACCAGGGTCAGTGTGAGTAGCCATCTGCCAAGACCGGCTGGGCTTCAAGGAGACAGAAGCAGAGATACAAAAAGCAACTGTAAAAGGCGGCCCCATCCAGGAAACACGCAGCCAGGCAGACTCCCATGTCAGAGGATGAAGAGTGCACATCCAGTCAGTCACAGTCAGAGAAACAGGAATACCCTGGAAAACAGGCAGATCTCCAACATCTATAAACAAAGGTGTTGATGGCAGCAGCACAGCTGATATTTCTCTCCAGGATGATGTCACAGCCAAACAGAAACAGATGAGGCAAAGGTAATGAGAAAAAGCAGAGAGAGCATAACGTTAGAAATTGAACTAAAACCTACTATGGTTTTAGCAAACAGAAATAATTTTATATAATTTGAAGTAAAACTAGAAAAGAAAAAAAAGAAAATTATATGACCTTTCTTACAGCTGTTGTCAACTAAAATTATGTAATTTGCAAAAAAATAATAATAATAATAATAAAAATAGGATAAAATAAATATTAAGATCTTGTCAACAAATTTTGAGAATTGTGACTTTTAACTCATAGCCTACATTATGTAGAATACAATGTCCAACTGGCTTGAAATCAGACATTTAAATCCTTGCAGCTATATTTATATATACCACTAATAAATATTTCCAGAGGTTCCGTTTGTATTGATACAGGATGTGTGCGTCATGCTGCGCAGACCGCATGTGGTTCAAAGCGTCCTCACATTCCTGAACGTAGGCTTTATCTTTCTTACATCCAAGTGGCGTCAAGTTACGAAAGGCGCACAGAGCCCCACAGAGCACCCCATGGATGAGTGTTCAGAAATACACTCATAAACTCGCAATCCAATCAAACAACGGTAATAACGATATATTAGTCTTATATTTGACGGACTTCCTTCCCCTACTTGTATGATAACAGATTTATTGTATAATTTTATTCTTAAATAGGTTGTGTAAATTAGATATAATTATTTTAATTAGATACGTTTATTTGTATTGTTGTTTGACAGATTTATACAAATATCTCGCCTGACCTCTCAAACTTGTTACAAAATACGTACAGCATGTACACG